GTGTGTGTGTGTGAGTGAGAGAACTTCCTCAGGTTTGGCAGGTTTTGCACTGTGAATAGCAGAGACTCACCCGGTTGAGAATAGGAGGAAGAGGGAGGGGGGGTATGTGTCTTCAACAGCAATTTAAAAAATCAATTGCGTCACAAAACAGACAACTTGTGCAGAAAACACCTGTTATTAGCACATAAACCAGACGCAAAGACATTACTCACATAGTAGTGACGACATGGTTCAGTGACTACATTGGAAACAATTAGCAGACAGTTTGTCCAGGTGAGAGCTACAACAGGTGATCACGAAGTGTGACAACACAGGTTTACGCTCTGAAAATTGTTTTGCTTCAGCACCTTTGATTCATGTTTTCTGGCCCATGATGATGTGATTTTATGATAAATAAATCTAAATAAATTATGTTTGCTGTCAAAAATGAAGATCATGTTCGCAACTACAGTTGTAATTGGCAAGACATATTTCATCACAGAAGATAAAACTGTCTGTCTCAGTTGGACTTTTTTTAAAGTGACAGAACAGACAGAGTTTAGTATTAGTAAGCTGTCATGACCTTTTTATTAACTGAGAAATGCTTAAAGTGTTGAGTCAAGATCAACTTTAGATATGATGAAACAGAAATTAAATTCTTATGAGCTCATATAGGCGGTCCCACTCTGACGTCTTTTTTTGCTTCGAGGGAAACAAATTAATTGAAATCAGTGGATAAACAGCTTTGCGTTGTCAGCTTACATTGTTGGCAAATTCTGAGAGCGACGGGAAGAAACTTGCAATTCCAAACTAGGCTTAATGTTAATCTTTTGCCACTTTGGTGGTTCATCGGTCAAATGTCAACCAGAATTGGTCGGTGTGATTCATAAGCTATAACGCCTATTTTAATTTGTCGGCAATTACTTCAGACACCACCAGTGCTGCTCACGCTACATACTGAGGTTCACAGTGCCTGAGAGAAAGAGCCTCACTACAGTGAAATGTTTGAAACTCTTACTGGGAATTAGAGCACGAATGTAACTCTATGGGTGTCGGTCAGTTAGTCCAACACTGAAACATCAAAATCTTTGCTTCAGACATTCATGGCCCCCCTCAGGATGAACTGTAACAACTTTCATTCTTTTCATCCACTTTGGGGTCAAGTGACCAGGTCAGACTTCTTCAGAAGTAGTGTGAACACTCAAATCTTCAGTCCCAGGTCTGATTTTTTCAATGCGGCCGCAGTGTGAACAACCAAGGCGGATTTCGATGCGACTTTTACGTCAATCTA